ATAAAGTAAATACTTTATATAAACAGCTTTATATAGATTGTATAAAAATTTTATAAAAATTTAATATAAATTAGCTTTATTTATGTACAAAAGTTTTTCACAAGCAATTCTGTGTCGGCGCATAAGAACCGTTGTTTACAGACGCACAGCAGTCTTATATCGGCACACAGCAGCCGTTGTTTATAGGCGCACAGCAACTTTGTATCGGCGCACAGCAGCCGTTATTTATAAGCGCACAGCAGCTTTTTAAAGGTATACAGCAGCCGTTGTTTATAGGCGCACAGCAGCCTTATATCGGTGCACAGCAGCCGCTTTTTACAGGCGCACAATAGTCTCTTTGTGATTTTTAAAATTAAAATTGATTATATTTACCTATATCCTCTTGAGAATCCGCTAATTCTTGAAGCCGTCAATCCTGGAAATCCTGGTCTGCGCAGAAAATTAAAACTCCGTGTTTCTCACTAACATTATTTAAGGAGAGTGAACTTTTACAACTTACATACCTTTAAATAACAAATTGTTCAATAAATATAAATGAATTTACTATTTACTTATTTAGTATTAGTTTATACATAGATTTAAAAATAAAAAAAATGAAAAAATGAGGTACTTAAGTTGCAAAAAGGTTTGTTTATTAAAATATATATTGATTTTTAATTTTATACAACTTTTTTTACTTTTACCATGATTCTCAAAAACGAATATAGATACCAAAGTTTTTTTAAATTGTTTGTAATTAATTATCTATAAATTTTTTTCAGAAAATCTACTTTGCCATTTAAAAATAATTAAAGAAAAGAATACTATAATTAAAGAGAATATAATAAATAAAATTTTTTGTCGATAATCGGCAATTGTATTGAGACTTCTAATAGCTCCCCAAAGAATTCTAGCCATTATACTTAATAATCAAAGTTTTACAGTTGATAACAAAAAAATTACAGTGGCTTAAAGTTACGAAAAATGTGATTTTTGGTGCTTTAAACAAAACTATTTCTAAAACCAATAGAAAACTGTAGAATTTTTAAGGGAGCTATCAGAACTCTAATCAATTTTTCAAATTTTTTATAGGTATAACTTCAGATAAGTCAAAATAGTAAAAGTAGAAATTTTCTTTATCACTGTAACACTAACCATAATCTTTGAGTGTAAAATACTTCTAATTATTTTTTTATATAAAGAAATTAAAATCATTATAATGTGTTTAAATACAATTTATTATTTTAAATTTTGAAGAAAACAAATTTATCTATTTATATAATCTGAATTTTAATCATTTTATGTCAAATGTTCAAATTTGTACAATCCAAATTTTAATAAATTTTGATTATTATTGCAGAACATTTAATAATCCAATATGATAAAATTATTGAATAAACATACATATTGCATTTACTAATTATATAGCACTTTTATATTAAAAAATTTTATTCATGAAGCTTAACAAAAAACAAATTATTTATAAGATTTACTTAATCAGCACCTTTGTTGAAAGAGATTTTAAAACTACACATTAAGTTATATATAATGATCCGTTCAGCGGTTATTAAAATCTGAAAACTCAAGTATTCTCAACGAGCGACTCGCGTATAGATATAAATGGAAAAAAACTAAACTTTGAAAGCATGAAGACGATGATTTTAAAGAGAATAATAAAATATGATAATAAACTCTGTAATATTATATTTTCCCTTTGAACTCTTAAAGAATCCGATTTAAACATAATATAGGAATTGTGTAAAAGAACGAATCTTATTGGTGAATCATTTTGCTTCTTAGATGCACTCGGCAGCCAATGAGAGGACGCGTAGACGAGACCATATTGTTTTTTCACTTTTTATTAACAACATAAATTACGATAATTATACGCTTTAAACCTTCCTTGGTTAATAAGAAACTTATGAGCAAAAGATGATATCAAACTATGTAGTAGTTATTGAGAACTAAAACCATAACCGATCCGAGCTCGGTGAAACGCATACTCCCTCCGTTTTTTGCCAACCTGCGGTTGGCAGCAGTCGGGAGTAAAAAGAATTGTATAATAGATTTTAATTTCTCAAATGTTAAAAATATTGGAATATAGTATAAAATCTGTTTGTTTGAGAGCAATTTTATATATTATTACTCTGAAAGCACATATTTCCAAATAATCACGTATAGAGTATAATTTAATCAAATACACATACATGTATATCAAGTATAATTTAAAAATATCTTCAGCAAAAAGCTAATACTTTGATAATTACATTTAAACCAGATCTTAAAAGCAATCATAAATAGCAATTTAACAATGCAACAATACTCTAAGAATGCATAACATAGAATTATAAATGACAGCATAATAAAATGAACACTGGCTAAATATCATATATATAAATATACCTGAGCAATATAATAATTACGTTTTTTATTATCCGCTGCTCTTTCTTTCTTTCATTTATTTTAACTTCTTTTCTTTGTATCTTATGTTTTTTCCTTTTCTTTTCTTTTATTTCGTTTTTTTCTCTTGTTCTCTTTTTCTTTAAATAATCGTAGCTGAAAAAAGTAAATATTAAATAAATAATTTAACAAATACATTATTAATTTACTCTAAAAAATGATGTACATTAACCAAAAACATTTATATACATAAAAAGAATAGCATATTTTCACAATTTAAAATGTTATGAATGTATACTGCTAAATGCAAAAATATAATAAATACTGATATAGTAATATAATTTTTAAAATAAAAAGTATGTACAAATATAATGCAAAGAAAAGTATGTGGAAAAGTAAATTATAATGAAACCTTGTATATAATCTAAGAAAAGTAATCTCTTACAAGCAATATATACCTATATGAAGAGTTATAATATTATACGTACAACTTTTTAAAACTTCTTATTCTTTTCTTCTTTTCTCTCCTTCCTCACTTTTATATACTTCACTTTATTATTGACTTTATCACATAAATTGCATTTATCATATACATACATTATATTCTATGTATATAGGTTAATTTAATTAGCGCGAAATTACTATGTCTCTTAATGTAACGCTGACCTCATGCGATATTCTTCATAATCTATTGATCGATAATCCCAATGGTCAATAAATCCATAATCGTAAACAGATTACAAACAAAAATTACAAACTACATTACCGACTTTATAAGTAATAATCTCTGCACACAGGACGCAGCAACGCGTCGCTTTTTCCCGCGCGGCAATTGTTACTGTGTTTTATGTGCAAGAATTATAAGATTTTTGACGAAAATTACGATCGATTACGATCGATATAACCGAGTCCGTTACACTGATGCCAGTTTTGAGACGCTGCTACAGCCACAGCGTGTGGAGGGGATAATTCACACAAGCGTGAACCGTGTACGTGTAATGCGCAGAGCGTTCTGCGCTGCTAAGACGGCTTTGTGATTGGTTTAGGACATCTTAAGATTGTGCTTAAGACGGTCTTAAATATAAGAACTGACTATGAATACCGGCCTCAGAATTGGCATCTCTGGTCCGTTATCGGCCACGGTCGGGAGTGGACGTGTTTTGGCGCGTTACGCGTATTTGTTTGGACCTTATTTTTTTGAGTTTCTGTTAAGGTTCTTTTATATATATTTATCACTCTCAACCAGTTTTTAATTAACACCAACTGGCGTATTTTAATTAATAACCAACTGGCGTATAGGCATATTCGGTTTCCGAAGCCTAACTATAACCACAAAGATAAGAAGAAGAAGAAGATCGATATAACCAACAAAGCAATATTAATTTGCGAATTATTAGCAAGTTTGGCTATATGGTTAAGCCATCTCTTTGTGGATTAGTTATGGGCAAAAATAAGAACGAAAATTCTGGAAAAGAACGAAATATCGTAAGTATACTTATAATATTCTATTTTTCATTAATTGTTCTACTATTCAGATAGTGTGAAAAGTTTGATAATTTATAACAATAGCAAAAAGAATGCTATGAGAGAGAAAGAGAGAGAGAGAGAGAGAAAGAAAGAGAGAGAGAGAGAGAGAGAGAGAGAGAGAGAGAAAGAAAGGATGGGATAGGGAGTGAGAAAGAGAGAGGGAGGAAGACGTGTAAAAATATAAATAAAATTATAATTAGACATTTATGTTTTAGACATTAGACATATTATGCTAGAATTACATAAATATATATATTACAACAATTATATGATATGAAAGAAATAGTGGGATAGTAGCGTAACAAAAAAGTAGTATGATTTACAACAATTATATATTATGAAACAAATTGTAGGATAGTAGTGTAGCAAAAAGGTAGTTATAAATATCATTAGATACTTATAAAACAATAGTAAGATAGCAGCGTAACAGAAAAGTAGTTACGAATAATATATCAAGCTTATCATATATAATACATATATAGCTATATATATATAGNACTATATTATTAATTATTTTTAATTTTTTCAGGATTTTAATGGAGAAATCGATATTTCTACAGAAAATGAATTATTAAAAACAGAATTGACGGACCTACAAAAACAATTAGTGGATATGCAGAAACAACTAGCAGCTGCTGTTGCTGCAAATAAATCATTCCAGCAGTAACTATTATTAAATTCAGCTCCTCCATCGTCATTGCAGCAACAGCAGCAGCAACCACTAAGTTCGACTGCACAAGTATTGGAACAAGAGCAGCAGCAATCGACAAATTCGACTCCATCACAGCCAGCTCCACCATAGCCAGCTCCGACACAGTCGAAATCGATTTCTATAAATGAACAAACTTTACAACGTAAGTATAACATACAACGTAAGTATAAATAATAAATTGTTATAAATATGTAATATATTAATATTAACAATTTTTCTGTTACAGTAAAACAAAAACCTTGCTGGCAACGGGCAGGGAGAGGATATACTCAAGGTCGTGAATGGAGACGGGGACGAGGTTATGCACGAAATAATCATGGACGTGGAAATATTATCATTAATATGTAGTAAGTCATCATATTTCAGACGAATATTATTTATTATAATAATTAGATAATAAATTTTATAGAAAATAATTAACAGAAATAAATTTTTGATAGAAAATTAATAATATATTATTAAATATTACAGATCTCTAGACCTTAGACCTTGCCTATTAAATGGACTTCTAAGGGCCCATGGAAAAAAAACACTTTCCTTCATTCTGGACATTTTGTTTGTTTTTTTTATGCACACATAAAAACACTTTCCTTCTTTCTGGACATCTTGTCTGCTTTTTTTTTGTCCACTCATACACACAAAATAGAATAGATAATTTTTCTTTTGTTATGTTATATTATTGAATAATGTGTTTTTTAGTTATTTTAGTTATCTGTACCTGTAATTCTGTACCTGCGTAAGATAAAAAAGATAACATTATATGTTGCTGTGTATGTATGTGTGCGTATGTGTATGTGCATGTGTGCAATACAATATACCACTGAAAAATAAATTTATATATTTATAAAAACAAATAGAAATTTAACTTTACAGACTGCGTTTCATTAATGCTATTTATACTATTTTGTAATTTTAATTTCCCAGAATGCAATATTATATATAGCGTAGCACTCTTTCATTTATAAAGAAATGGAACTGCAAAATTCTTCGTGATAATTGTGGATCGTTGAATGAGATATAGAATTTTTATATGTAATGTGATGTTTTGTTTTGTTTTTACATATAGATATATCTGTGTATTTTATATATACTGATCTAACTATTCGCAAGTGGTGTAGTAATAAATTTCTATAAAGTTCGTTTATTTGAGTGCGGACGTGTTTCTCTACGTATACGAATTTAGAATTCATATAGGTAAAGATATCGAGATTTGAAATTTCAGATTACTTTTTAAAAACAGTGGTACCGCGTACGGTCTCGAAAATTAATAGTTTAGGATGCTCTATTGTTATTAATGAATATCCATATGTATTGTATTTTTCTTTGCTAGTCAGTGCGATTACCGTGTCTTGTGTGGTTAAAGAGTAAACTGTTTGCGGATGATCTTTATCTTTATCGACTATTTTGTATGCGTACCCCTCGAATAATATTCCGAAATTGTAAAGTTTGCAAGTATCGGTAGGTACTGGATCCCAGTACGTATCTCCCCCTTCTACATCTGTGCAGTGTGTGGAGCCAAATTTACATGCTACACCCGACCTGAGCTGTACTCGGTTAGTGTTTATTTTTACGTCTGCTATATAATCTTGTAGTGTAATTCTTACGCTTGCAAGTACTATTACATCTGTCCATGTTCCATAAGGATCGGAATATGCTCCTCCGATACAGCCTCCGTCGTTGTCCACACTGCCAGCGAGTGTTATTGGACGTGTAGTGGTTTGATTTGATTTTAA